GGAAAGTGCATGGGGAGCTTTATTAATGGGTCTCTCAGAATCCAGCCCACATAGTACAAAAATAACAAACAATTTAAAAGAAGCTGTGATCACATTCCCCAAAAAACTGTCAAAACAGACAGCAATGTATTTGTTCAAACATATAGTGTGGAGAAAAAAAATGAAATTAGATTTAATATATTCATAATTTCAAATACCTACCTTTGTTTTGTTCTTGCTTTTTTTGTATTTCATATGGACTTCCATTTCCCACATTAGTTTCTGATTTATTATTGCTGTTATTGTTAATTTCTATTTGTATTCTGCAGTACAGTATGTAAACTCTAGCTGCAGAACAAATTTCCCCTAGTGGGACAATAAAGATGACCTTAACTTTGGCTTTACATGTTTCTCTTCCTAAGGAAGCAGCAATGCACCAAAAGTTGGCAAACACACTGTGAAGCAGATGCTCCCCATAAGGTTCTGTTTCGTGAAGTTCTTAATTTATTACTCTCTGGTTTATTCATTAACTGCAGCCACTTTGATTCCTAACAGAAAGAAAGCATGCTGTTGAGACTTCGTTTCTAAAAAGCAAATGTAAATCATTTCTCTGTTGCATGATGCATATAGCACTGACAACACATAAACACACGTGAGAAGCCTCATATTGACCTACCTGCCAACCTAACCGTCTACCTATTGACCCGAATATCTGCGCACCTAAAAACAGCTTTACAGCAAAGATAGCTCCTGTAATCCCACACTGCTGCAGCTTGTATAACAATTTCCAAGGAGGCAGACACGTTTACAGGCAAAAGAGCTTAAATGGTGAACTGTTGGGTTGACATAATAATGATGTTAATTGCATCAACTTATTATTGTGTACAATTTAAACTCACCTTTCTTTTTTTCTTTTTTTCTTTACATTAGTTGATTTAAAACCAAATTCAAGTAGAGGTAACCTAATGAAACTGGCTTAATAACTTAATTTTTCTTCACCTTGAGGTTGGGATTTCAAGTCCCCTCTCCCACACTCAAGCAACTTCATTTATATATATATTATTTTTTCAACTAAAAACTGTTCTTTTAAAATATGCAAATACTAGTTGGAATAACTTATTTTTATGAGTAATCAGCTTGAAACTTGTGTTTATGAGGCCAGTCATTACAAGTGGTTATAAACAATACATTCGATTGCAGAGGAAGAATGTGATCAGACTAGTTCATTGTAGTTTAACATATTCTAACAAGCTGTCAAAACTTAAATAGATTGATGCAAACTGTTCTCTCTCTCTCTCTCTCTCTCTCTCTCTCTCTCTCTCTCTCTCTCTCTCTCTCTCTGTGTGTGTGTGTTTTGTTAAGTTTAATGTATTTGTTTTTTGTTGAATCCAAACATTATTCTTTTGGAGTATAAAATCAGATCTATGGTTGACATACTTCAGCAATCTAATCCAAACCATGACTGTACCACACATGTATTTCCCAAATTCATTAATACATTGAACACAAGAAACTTTAAAGGTTATGAAAAAAAACCCTCTTAAACCACCATTTTCCCCTCTCTTTTCTGTGTGAGAGAGAGAGTGTGTGTTATGCATTAGAACACGTGACATGTGAAAAAGTAATCTCAGTATAATGTTGTAATATAACCTAAGCTGCCAGTGAAGAGCAACACTCCCCTCTGCTGTCCACTAGCTGCACTCCATCCAGCAGCTTTCACCCACTTTCACTGACTTACTTAAATCCGAGAGTTTGACATATAAAACATCCAACCTGACGTCTCAATGCAGCGTAATAAGCGTTAAGAAATTATCGCATAACTGTAAAAATTGCAGCGTCTCAATATTCCGACGCTGTCACTAGGGGGCGTAAATGCATCACTGCCGGGCAGGTGACAGGTCCTGTTGCTATGGTGATGACGCTGGTCACTGAAAACGGTAGCACGTCCCTGACGAGCGCTGCTTCCACATTTCATGTCATTTAAGGTTAGTAAACACTGCTTTGCCGCTTTTTTTGCACTTTTTTGAAAATTTTGTTATGAATCTTAACGCTGATGATGATGGTAAAGGTCAGAAATAATGGTGATTGAATGTCTTTAGGTTCGATAGTCTATAATTTCCCCTGGTTTCCCATGATGCATCGCTTTATTTTGTCTAGTAGCTCAGGGAGATGATAGGGAACTGACACAGCCACCCTCCGCTCTCACCCGACCGAGGCGAGCCCCTGTCAGCATCCCCGACATGCCCCGCACGGCGGAATGCGCTTAGCCGGTGTGGCTCCTCGGTTTGACGACAAATTTAGCAGCTTTGATAACATCTTCGACGGCCGTGTATATTTAGCCGTGAGGTAAGCCGCCCCGCTGGGTAACGTTAAGGTGCTGTTGTAGCCTCGTTAGCCGCTCAGCTATGCTAGCATCAATAACGTAGTTCCCTGTATAGAAAGACAGTTTCATTTATAGACATTATAAAATCAGCATAATTAGATATCTGTTTGGTTAGCTACAGCTAATTTTGCCTATTTAAATGTCAGTTTTAATTCGGCATTCATCCGAGCAGGTGGACTTCAATGACATTTTAACTGTTAAAATTGTATTGCTCGTTCATGCTGTCGTTTCATCGTCTGAAATGTTTTAAACCGTTAATAATAGAATGGGAGCTGCTGATATGTGCGCAGTGTTGCTGGGCTGTAATTGAAATTGCGATGGATTCAACGTATGCCGAATTTACTAGAATACCTCCACGCTGCCAAAAAAAATAAAATACTTCAAATTCGAGTGTTGATACATGTCGTTATCTGGTGAGCAGGCTGTAATATGAGGGGGTTTAAATGGGGTTCGGTGCTTTTTAACAGCACGTACTGGGGCTAGCTTGTTTGCGTTTCCTGAAACTGGACAGCTCCTCCCTGGACAGCAGCAGTACATAACATTGGCTGCAAGGACGGGCTTTGTGATGACCCCACGAAATGCAGTGATGGCATCCTACAGTGCATTAAGTCATACAACAACACGGAAATGTTTTCAAGTCGTTCACAGGCACCGATCACCCGGCCCGGGTTCACGACTACTGACGTTTTGTTCGATAACGATAACGAAATCTTGAATGATCTCTCTGTCTGGTTTGAAGCTTGGTTGTGTAAAGTAATGATCCTCCTGCCAGGACCAACAGCGGTTCATTTCGGTGGTGCTGTCCGCAATGCAGGTGCTGAAATTCAAAGTGTCGTGGAAAGTGTGAAGCGTCCCTGCCGGCTAACGCGTAGCTGTATATTCTAGGAAAGGCTGATTAATGGGTCTTAAACGCACCTTGCTCTTAAATACAAGCAACAGATTTAGCGATGACATGAGAAGAAAAGGGAGAATTTGGAATATTTGTGTGCAAAGACATTGCTTCTGTTGTGGCTCGTTGTAGTAGCTACTTGCTAATGTTTCATGCTGCTGCAGTTCATTGATTATTTATATTCTCTGAATGGGGAAATGCTGGTTGGTATAATAGCAGAGGGAAAACAGGGAAAGGACACGCTGATTTGATATCAGCCTGTCCTAGATCAACTTTACTGTCTAGCTTTAATTCACTTTACTCCTATACCCTTCTATATCACTGTCACCTCTATGTTCTGTTATGAGCCGTGTTGATATTGAAGTTGGCTGAGGTCATGTCTTTGCAAGTGGAAAGCTATCTAAGCTATTCTAGGAAAGAGCTGGGATGAGAGATATGCTTGCAGCGCAGGGTTTACCGGAAGGACTCCACATTACTCATCAATAATAGATTATCTCCTCAGCCTTTATGACACACCACTGCTGTATTTGTTATTACCACTCTGTGTTTCGGTTATCACATGCATCTCATTTTCTTCCGTAAGTCAAGAAAAAAACACACACACAAAAAAAATAAACTGCTGGAACTAGGAAGTGTGTCCAGGTGGGTGTCATGGAATATATTATTCATGTTAGCGAGCTGATGATGTAAGAGTGAGAAGCTCTGGGATGTTTTATTGAAGCTCACTTATGTATGCAGTGAGAGGCTTTCTCTGGACAGGAGGAGTGTTTTGCTTGGATCAATGTGCTCTCAACCCATAACACAGTATAGCTGTCTGGCAGAGAGTGGAGATGTTGGGAGTGAGTGATTGCTTCTCTCCCTGGATTGGTGCTGGAGACAAGGACATACAGCGATGAGAGGGAGGAGGAAGGTGGGGCAAGGCAGGGGAGGAAGATTCGGTCACAAGACTGTCGTGCCACACCCAGCGTCACTGTAATGACTGTTCAGATGGTCAGATTTTTAAAAGTTTTTGTTGTTCTCGATCATGGTATGGGTGAGATTATTTTGCAGCAAGAAGGGATGTTTCTGTGTTGGAGTTCTTTAGACTTTTCGAAATTGAAAACTGTCTGTGCCAAGAAAGAATATTTCCACTGTATGTCCTAATAAAATTACAGTATGCAGTGTAGATTGGATTAGTGTTTATTAGATTAGTGTTACCTTTCAGATATCTGTTTTTTGAAAGCCCACACAGCAAACTCTAGAATCTAAATCAATAGCCTTATTCCAGTGATTGGTTGTTAATTACAGAAAGCACTTTTAGTCGCTTAACCTCTCTGTACTACAGTCTCATTCTAGCATTAATCCAGCCTGGTTAATATCGATATCCTGTACGTCTGCTGTTTGCATTATAGATTGTGCATCTCACTTTTTTTGTCAGCAAACGGGGTTACCATTTCTTCACTTGATTGCTCAGTTAAAATATCCAATGGCTGTTATTGTGGATAGAGTTGATGGTCTTATCTAATTGTGATTAGTCGGATCTGTCATCTAAAGCAGATTTTCCTGGCCGGTTTGCACACAGAGTAAAGTTGGAGCCAATCCCAAAACCCAGATGTTTATAGGCGAAAGGGTGAGAATTAACGGCCTGTCTGCCAGATGGGTTGACTTTTGTTTATAATCTTCCTCCCCTCTCTTTCTGTCTCTCTTTTCTGCCTCCTTTCTTTTTCTGTCATCTCTGTTTGGAGGTTGCAAGGCCGGTGTGTGTCCGAACATAATCCGCCATGGCGTCAGCAAACGTTACACTGGAAAATCAGCTGCACAGTGCACAGAAAAACCTGCTCTTCCTCCAGCAGGATCACGCCAACACACTGAAGGGGCTACATGCAGAGATCCGCAGATTACAACAGCAGTGTACAGGTGAGCCACAAGTAGCTACATCTCTCCCCTTCATGCCGCAGTTAAAAACTATCACATTTGAGAACTTACGACAGGATGTCTCATGAGAACACACAGAGCAAGCCATGAATGTTAATTATGATACGAGCACCCTTGAATTCAAAAACAGGACAGGTGTAAAGCTTAAGTGGATATTTGGGACCAAAAGTTAGCAAGATGCTGTTGTGCCCCTACTAAACCTTTCAGAGGTAATAGGGTGGCTGATGGGAAATGCTTTTAAGCGTAGTGATGGCAAAACGTGTATCGATCTTACTACCATTAGAAGATATACATGTAAGACGGAATATAAGGACAGTCACCCTAACAAACAGAACACTATGTGATTTAGGCCTGATTTCCAGTATCCTTGGCTAACCTGTTTACTAAAGCTGACAGAGAACTCTCACTAATCTTATTAAATGAATACTGCACCATATGGAAAGAGGTGACATGCGTTCCCCAGACATGTTTTGCCACCAGTTAGTCTGTCAGGAGCATGCTCTTTGATAGCTGCAACCTCATGTAACACAGACATGTGAGTAACCATGCTCTTTTTTTTTCACAGACCTGACATACGAGCTCACTGTGAGAAGCTCTGATCCCTCAGGTAAGCCTCCATCATACTGTGTAGTACACACGCATATCGATTTTACCACTAGGATTCAATGTCTTTTGTCATTAGTTACCATCAATATTAATTTGCTGTGAAAAATTTAATTACCGCTAATGTGTTCAACGCTTGTTTTTGGTGAGTGTAAGCCACGTGTCTGTGGTTTAATCTAGAATTTGTCAGTGCCATGACTGTACTACTCTCACAAGAGAAGCTAAATAAGCTGCTGTACTGTTGCAAACTATATTAACTTAGATATGTCTCCAGTCAGGCATGATTTAATTATATCATCTGGTTTCATAATATTATATTCTAGTAATATCTCAGAGTACAGATATATTTGAAACAACTGATCCAACTTGTGAAAGTCCACAGCAGCAGCAGACGAAAGTCTGCAACACTCAAGGCTATAAATCAACAGTTTCTCCTGAAAAAGAGCTCTGTGTTAGTTGACAGGCCAAAGAGCAGAGGGTTCTCTCTGTTTCCTGGTAACAAAGTCCCACCCAGGAAGCATTGCACTGTGGGACTCCCTGCTGTTCATTAGAGCTCCCAACGCTCAATGCCAACTGCCCCTCCCCCCACAATAACGTGGTCGTGACATGGACTCTCGTCACTGGTCTGATTTCAATCCAGCTCCACACTACAGTCACGGAGGCCCCAAACAGGCCGAATACAGTTTAATTTATTTACCTGCTACTAATGACCACGGCGATGTGTGTAGCTGAACAAGAAGCATGTAACTTGTCACCAGGATCACCATATGTTGTAGACTTTTGACATGGTTGACCTAAATCAATATTGCTACGGCCTCCAGTGAGAGGCACTATCATGTTAGTGCAGGACATCTCAGAGATTGGAGTGCAGGAAATGAGATTATCTGTCACAGCACTAATGCACAGCCTGCAACCTGCTCAGTGCAGCAGAGCTCAGCTGCTCCAGCTGGGGTGAAAACGTACCAGCCCCCCCTTCAAACAATGAATACTCATCTTTCTAAGCAGCCCTGTGTTTGATACAGGACTTAGTTCAGGAAATGTAAAGTATACATTGAAAACTTTTACGTGGTCACATTGTATTATATAGATAATATACAATTGTATTTTACACGTATCTGGTATCTGGGTGGGGCAGGACAGGGTGGAGGTCAGACAAGAGCAGCGTCCTTTTTCTCTACCAGAGCTGTAACGTGAGACTGGAGCTCTCTGCCCACTGCAGATGAGTCTCCATAGGATCATACTGTCTCTGTCAGCTGACAGGCTGCCCATAGTCTGCGCTTAATGTACTAATGATTAGTCTGGCCCTGCAATATGTGTACCTGAGTGTGTGTTTTTTTTCTCTCTTTGCCGTTTACTACAAGCATTTGCTGTGCTTATAGATATATGTAATGGCTGTTGTTTTTTTATTTTGTGTGCAGACAGCAGCGAGGTCCGATGCAAGGAGCTGCAAAGGAGGTGCGAGGAACTGGAGGCTCAGCTGAAGAAGAAGGAGGAGGAGAACACAGAGCTGCTCAGGGACCTGGAGCAAAAGAACGCCATGATTTCCGTCCTGGAAAACACCATCAAAGAGAGGGAGAAGAAGTACCTGGAGGAGCTTAAGATGAAGAGCCACAAGCTGGCTGTTTTGTCCGGGGAGCTGGAGCAGAGAGCGAGCACCATAGCTTACCTGACTTCACAGCTGCATGCTACTAAGAAAAAGCTGCTGGCTGGCAGTTCCTCTGAGGCCAGCCCTAATGTCAGTCCCGTCACCTCATACAAGCCCACACCTCCCCCGGCCAAAGACAGGCAGCCTGAAACCCCACGTCGGCGCATGAAGAAGAGCCTCTCCCAGCCTCTTCACCCGGAGCTGACAGAGGTGTACCGCCTCGGCCCGGACGGCAGGCGGCTGGTCCTGCGGGAGACAGTCGATGCCATGCCCGACCCCACACCCTTCTTGCAGGCAGGCAGAGAGTCTCCCGAACCACAGGTAGTGCGAGAACGGCCTGCAGTGATCCCTCCTATTGCCTCGGAGCGTCCCCCCGTCCCTCCCCTGGGTGCTACGGCCAGCCCTCGTCACAGCCCCGCTCGGGACCGTCAGTACAGGGCTCATGTGGGCGTGGCGCACCGCATCCCGCACGGCACCCCTCCCCTGGCCCCGCCGCAGGCAGAGCTGGAGACGCTGGCAGTGGACCAGGTCAATGAGGAGAAGGTAGTGCGGAAGCGCTCAGGAGCCGACAGGACAGTTTAACACTGCAATGCTAACATGCACATAAAACGCGCACACACACATACACATCTACTGTATACACACCACACTGCAAGAACAGGAAGGAGCCTGACCCACTGTGTAGCCTGCTTTTTACGCAACACTGCAATATGAAAAAAAAACAACAAAACAAAATTATAATTTTGTTCGTGGTATTCCATAAGGACTTTTGTTTTTCTTATTATAAAGTAGAGAAGGACTACTATAAAGCATGCCAAATGTTTCTTATTTACAACTTGTATTATACACATCTTGACTTTTTGCTTAGACTTTCACGTCATTCTGTCTTACATGGTGCATACAACAAATTTCAGCCAAATATCTGCATCAGTGCCTGCTAACTGGTTCAACCATACACAAGCTGCTTGGTGTAGTCATAGCTAATAGTTATCTTTACATATCTCTGTCTGCTCTACCTTCAGTCTGGACATATCAACAAACTATATAACAAAAGATATCTGCAGCTGCGTAGGATAGAACTGAAATAATTAAAACTACTACTCCCCGAATGTCTTTCATCTGCTTGTGATATCAGTATAATATCATTACTGTAGGTATGAGCTGCATAATGTGCAATTGAAATTGGCTGGTTGTTAAGATGAAAAGCTGTGTTTTCACCTTTTCTGGGAAAAAAACAGCAGCAGTGTACATGTTTAAATGCAGTATGAAACGACAGCGGCCAGGACGTGCATTAGTGTGCGAGAGATGAGAGAGGCGGAGAGTGTGTGTTTCTGAGACACAACAAAAGGCCATTGAGAGAATTAAGTTTTGGTTTTCAACAATATCCATCAATGTTATTTGTGATACAAGGGCATTTTTGAAAACACTGCTGTACTAGGATTTTGTGATATTATTAACTGTACTTTATAAAGGCTGTAAATTTGTAATGAATTCTTTTTTTAATTTATTGTTTAATATAGAACACACTAGGAAATACGACACTTCAGATATTCACCGTAGTTATGACGCCACCTACATGATGGTAATTAAATTCACTTAATAACCTGCTTTTCACATTAAGATCACTTGTCCTTGAAGTATACAAATCAATACAATAAAGCAATGCTTTTTTGGTTTGGTTATTTGGTTTCTATTCATATAAACGGGCGACAAATTAAAGGAAGAGTCTCAATAAGGTGATGGGCCACTATGAGCTCACAGAGCAACATTAGTATTGTTCCTCCAAAAGACATTCTCGTTTTGTGTTTTGATGAGGGTTGTGGAGAGCACAGCCTAATCTGGGTTGACACCTAGTGACTGTGAAGACTGCAGGCATGTAATTTTCATTATTTCATACTTATTACACCATTTTATGACCCACCACGCCCTGTAACAAGCATTCTCAAGGAAGCAAAAATAACCATTTTGTATGAGAGCCACCGATCTGCACCGACAACCATGAAGATTCACATTAATATGTCACAGCAGCACCTGGGGCTATAAGAATAATCAAACATTTTAGCAAATTGTGCCACAAAATACCATTATATGCTACAGAAATACCCTGGCCTACACATCATCAAGTCATATTTTTTTAGTGGAGAACAAATGCAAAAATGACCATTCTCACTAAAATGGTACCTCACAATTCAATTGCCATATCTGTAAAATGAACTACAATATGATTTTGTTTCAATTTTTGCATATTGTTCAGCCCTAGTTGCAGCAACACTGCCATGCTGATTTGCCGATAACTACTGTTACCAAAAAATTAGTGTGAATCACAGCAGGCGCCACAAATGTGTGTCTGTAGTTGATCCATACAGCCACTAGGTGTCCTCCTTGTAATACTTGTCCTTTATGGGACCAGCGTCAGAAATTATCACAAAAAGATAAAATGGTAATATCACTGTTGTGGAAGGTGTATGGGAAATTATGCACATTTAAAGTTGTGTATTTACACAACACTGTGTATTACTTTAGAGTGGGACTTAGTCACATTTTATTTCCTGGACTCAACATAAAAAAAGATAAATCATTAACAAACCTCTCCAACACCGACAAAACATTTTGTATCCAGGAATAGATAAGACAGAGTGTTGATTTGACATGCAGCAGTAAAAGTTGTATCCCTAGCCCTGGCTACTAACTTCAATACCAATTATATTGTATAGCTGCACATATTTAAATATGCAGCATTTTGTAGATAAATAACAGTGGAAAAGCACATTATGTTTAAAGTGCTTCTCATCACATTTGAATGAAATTATTCTCAGTATTAAATTCAGAGACAATTTTATAAACCTCTGTTTTTGGAAGCAATTAGCATTTATGCTAAACTCTTATGTGAAACGTGAATGGCTGAATCGAAGTGACTCATGTTATTTTAATCACATCACCAGTGTACGATAGTGACACAGCAAATGTGTTCCTTTTACTATTTCATCCTTCTCATCGATTTTACCACATATGAAGCCAAATCCTGTCTGTAAAATTCTATTGTAAAAGTGATTCTGTTGAAAAGTTTCGCTAAAGCTACTGTACCAGATCTAATTAGTAGTGGTAAAGAAGTATTCAGATCCTTGTTGTGAACGTAGCAACACAGCAATGTAAAAATACTTTATTACAGAAAATAGTTTTGCATGAAACATCCTCCATAAGTAAAAGTGCAGAGTAGCAAAATGTGGCAATATATAAAAGTATAAGTCCTGATTTGATCATTCTGACTGATACATGATACTATTAATAATCAAATGATGTCATGTTACTGTTGTAGCTGCTGCAGGTGAAGCTAGTTTGAACTACCGTTAAATAAATATGAGATTATTACTGGCAGAAGAAAGAAGAAAAAACAAAGTCCAGATCTAAAAATCTGTTTCTGGACTTCTTCTCTAATCTTTTATTTTTGGTTAAAGATTGGACAATTTGAATTTTTTTTAAAAAATGAGCCACATAAGAGGATTATGGGGGGAAATCGTTATTTGGTGGAACTGTTAACAATTCAGAGACATTTGCACTGTGACACTGACAACAAAGTGTTTTTGTAAGACATCAGAAGGTAAAAAATTGTATTTTAAAAACTTGGACTATCCATTATGTAAAATCTGCATCTTAAAAGTAACTAAAGCTGTCAAATCAATGTAGTAGAGCACAATATACAGTACTGCTGTCTGAAATGTACTGGAGTGGAAGTTTAAAGTAAGCCAAGAACAATACCTTAAATTTGTACAGAAGTACTCTACTTGAATAAAGTTTCACAACTGCAATTAGGTTTGAACCTCTAACCACGACGAGCTACTAAAGGGGTAATTTAACAGTATGTTAATGCCTCCAAAGGTTATTTAAATCCATATATTGCAAATATTTCTCTCTATATACTGAATATGCAGTTCTCCTGTACTGTCATATTGGGATACTCAGAATAGATGATGGTGTCTCATTGTTCACTTTAGCAAACATTAGCTGTCTATATTTTCTGGAGTATGTACAGTGGCAAGAAAAAGTATGTAAGCCCTCTGAAATTTCCTAGTTTTCTGCATTAAGTGTTCATAAAATGTGATCTGATCTACATCTAAGTCAAGTATAGACAAACACAATGTGCTCAGCATAATACCACACAAACAATTATAATATATAAATGTCTTTATTGAACACATCCATTAAACACTCATAGTGCTGGTGGAAAAAGTAAGTGAACCCTTGGGCTAACAACTCCAGCAAGAGCTAATTGGAGTCATGTGTTAGCAAACCTGGAGTCAAATCAATGAAACAAGATTTGACTGAGATGTAGAGCTACTGTGACCTATAAAAAGCACTCAAACCTTTTGAGTTAGCTATCGACAAGAAGCATCTGCTGATGTGAACCATGCCTTGCAAAAAAAAAAAAAGAAAAGAGATCTCCGCAGACCTACAATCAAGAATTGTTGATTTGCACAAGACCGGAAGTGGCTACAAAGTCACCTCAAAGACTTTAGGGATTCACCAGTCCACAGTAAGACAAATTGTCTACAAATGGAGAGGATTCAGCACTGTGGCTGCTCTCCCTAGAAGTGGGCGCCTAGCCAAATGGACTCCAAGGTCACAACGCAGAATGCTCAGCGAGGTAAAAAGAAATCCTAGAGTAACAGCTAAAGACTTGAAGGAATCATTGCAACTGGTTAACATCTCTGTTCATGAGTCTACCATACAAAAAATTGAACAGGCATGCGCTCCATGGCAGGACACGATGGAGGAAGCCAGTGCTTTCCAGAAAAAACATCACTGCACGCCTAAAGTTTGCCCAAGAGCATCTTGACACTCCACAACGATACTTAAAAAAATGTTTTATAGACTGATGAAACAAAAATTTAATTGTTTGGGAAGAACACGCAGCACTACGTATGGCGTAAAAAAGGCAGCGCATTTCAACATGAGAACATCATCCCAACGGTGAAATACGGTGGAGGGAGCATTGTGACTTGGGGCTGCTTTGCTGCTTCAGGACCTGGACCACTTGCCATCATCGAAGGGAAAATGAATTCTCAAGTTTATCAAGGTGTCCTATAGGATAATGTCAGGGTGGCTGTCCGTCAGGTGAAGACCAGTTGAAGTTGGGTGATGCAGCAGGACAATGACCCTAAACATAGAAGTAAATCTACAACAGAATGGCTTCAAAAAAAAGAAAATCCACCTTTTGGAGTGGCCCAGTCAGAGCCCAGACCAGAACCCAATAGAGATGCTGTGGAATGACCTGAAGAGAGACGTTCACAGCGGACATCTGAAAAATATGGCTGAGCTGAAGCAGTTCTGTTTGGAATAATGGTCTAAAATTCCTTCTGAACGTTGTGCAGGTCTGATCAGCAGCTATAGCAAGCGTTCAGTTGAGGTTATTGCTGCCAAAGGAGGTTTGACCAGTTATTAAATCCAAGGGTTCACTTACTTTTTCCACCAGCACAATGATTGTTTAATGGATTTGTTCAATAAAGACATGAAATATTATAAATGTTTGTGTGGTATTATGTTGAGCACATTGTGTTTGTCTATACTTGACTTAGATGTAGCTCAGATCACATTTTATGAACAATTAATGCAGAAAACAAGGAAATTTCAGAGGGTTCACATACTGTTTCTTGCCACTGTAAATCTATGACTTTCATTTGCACATAGAAATATGTGTAGATGCTTAAGTCTATGGTGCAACTCCTGGATCAAACAAAGTAAAAGTGACCAGCAAACACCAAGGCCGACAAGTGATTAAAATAAATTTTATTTTCAGAAACATATTTGGTTAAACTCACTTAAGGTAGGCTTGTCAGTCCTCACAGGTATGTTGCAGTGAGACTAAATATACGTATGGTTGTAATAAATCATTTGGCATAGCATTCTCCTTATTTTAAGTTCATATTTACAGTTCAGAAGGCCACTTAATACACGTTACAGGACTGCCAATGATGGACGTCTACAAACACACAATAAACCACAAATACACTAGTTCTCTTACTCTTGTCAAAAATAGCACAAAATTAAAAGCATCCCTGGTGGTGACATACCAAAGAGCGTGATTCACAGGATTAAAATCTTTACTTCTGACCTGAAAGCCTTCAGATCCTGATGATGAGCAGATTTGAAAGCTTTCAAGGTAAGAAGTGGGTTAGTTTAGGAGGGAGAAAAGATTTTCAAAATCCTTTTTGGCATGCCTCCACAATAAAGGAATTCTTTATTACTATTATTGTTATTATGAAATGAAGGAAAGTGCCTTGTTTTCAACCTGGTATTGATTTCACAACTCCTCAGTAATTATTTAGTGATCTGTCTTGTTCTCGTTTTTTTTTTTAAACTCACATTCATTTTTAAGAGATACAGTTTGTCTTGATATGTTGCCATGTCTTGCCAGTGCCATCACTGTGCAGGTTCTAACCTCTTGGCTGGCGATGTTACTTTCTTCTGTTGAAAACCTAAACAGAGAGTTGACCATGTGTTATTTCCACATACTTATACTATAGTTCAGTTTTGAAGGAAAAAGAGAAAGTGCAAACCTGAATCTGTCAGAGTTAATTGATTCAACTCCTCCTCCAGCTGCTCAGCGGTAATGTTCAGATGGCTGCGAGGGACAGCTGGCCGGGAACTGAGGATCGGCTCACCAGAGGGCTGCAGACCGTTAGTCGGGACTTCAGGCAAACCTGAGATGGAATCTGGCTTTGATTCATCCAGCAGAGATTTCAGTTCTTCCTCCAGCTCGTCCATGTCTTCATCTACAGGTAAAAAAAAAAAAAAAAAGTCAAAATAGAGTTCATTGATATTCTTATATAAAGTATATTAAAGATAAGGCACTGACAGAATGACTTACCTGCAGCAGTCACACCAGTGGACAGAGCCTGGTTCACCTCATCTTGGGTGTCACACAACTGTTTATGCAATAGAAAAGATAAATAAAGATGCGTCATTGTATGGTTCACATCAAAATAACAAAGTACATAAATCATTGTCTTAAAATAAAGCTGCACCTCTTGGATTTGATCCACGAGGCTCTCGGCACGTTCCACAGTCACATCTTTAAGAGAGAGTCTCAGGGCAGCCACTCCAGCCTGATATGCTTGCATAACCTACAGACGTGTTCAGGACACATTTGTTGACAACAGACTTTGTTCAGGACAACTGTTGCACTGATATTGCGAGTCTTACCATCTTATCAGTCTGTGATTGGGCTATTCGGTCCAGGATTCCCCTGATGGATTCCAGTTTGGCAAACAAGCTGTCTGCTCTCCTTTCGACCCTCTTGCGGCCTCTCAAACACCTCAGAGCCTTTGGAATGCAGTTATAAAAACAACTGAACTGATGACCATGACACTAACGACTAAAACAGGCTCATATAGGTAATATTAACAATAACCTGTGATTTCTTCCCCTCCCGCAGCAGAACCCTCGCTTCCTCTTTGCACCTGCAAGTAGATAATGTAAAGTAACTTCAGCAACAATCAGAGTGTGTTTGAGTGCCGTGCAGTCAAGACCCTGGAAATGGATGGCTCAGGCATCAAGTTACACACACAGCACCAGTTAGTTGATAATGTAATCCTGCCTAAAACATATACTGCACCTGTCACTGTCTACAGTAATATAACACTATAGGGATGCACAACACTGGATTTTTGCCGATATGCCGTTTTCTTCCGTCTCATTTTGGCAAATCGATGATATATGCACATATCAGTTTCCACCTAAAACGTCAAGTCTCTCCTGTAGTTGAACTAACATATTAATATGCCTTCTTCTACCATGATGGCCCACGAGCATGCACGGACATAAAACAACATTTTTACAAATACAACATGCCATTTCTATTTTTATGTATCACTTTTTAAACTAAACAGTAAATTTAAAGCCCGACGGGCATTATCATCCTGTAAATGCTAATTTGGGGTTGATGCCAATAATTGATTTTAAAGTCTTTATCGGATGATACTGATAATGATGCTGATATTACCATGCATCTCTAGCATGGTATGACATTGATGAATCTGCACTTGCTTCACACCTTTACATATACAGTTACTGTTACATTGCACCTATCACTACTCAGTACTACACATTCTACGTGAAAGCTGAAGTTTGAGCTGGTGTACTTGTCGGCCTCCAGGCTCAGTTTCTGCACCCTCTCTCCAAGCAGTTTCTCACTGCGCTGCAGCTGGTAGATGCCAACATCCACATCACTAACTGGAGACACACGCTCCTGTCCAGGCTGACAAAACTTCACAATCTGGAGAAAACACACAAGGACAGACAGATAACACGCATAAGATGCCACTTAAGACGCTGAATGGGCAGTCTGTTGAACGGCTGGCAGCAAGTTATCCATTACCTTCTCGCCTTCGTGCAATGAAACTGTCACTTGCTTGTCCCTCTGCAGCTGCAGGAGAGCCATGCATAGGGTGCTCTCATCAGCACAGACATCAGAGGAGAAGGAACAGAGCTCTTGAAATGACACGATGGAGCAGCTTGAAAATTCACTGCTGCGGTAGACCCTGAGTAATTCTGCTGCTTTCTCCTGGGAAACAAAAAAAAGATACCTTTGTAGCAAGCAGCTGCCAAAATACCATTTATTTTCTGTTGGAAAAACTAGAGTTAAAGGAAATTAACGTAATTCAGAATGGCTGTATTTTAAACCAAATCTAAAATATTCGTGGGGTTACCGTTGAAGGGTTAAACAATTTGGGGAGACAGTTCAGTTTCTACAGTGTGAAAAGCAGTTTCTTTTTAACTTTGCTAACATGTCTATGTGATGTTTTATATATGCATGAAAGCACATCATAAACTACTGAATTAGTCCAACAGTACAACTTGCCATAGTGTAGCCTCAAAGATTTGACATTGTTTGACCGGATTCACAAGGGAGCCGGTGTGCTCCAGCTGCAGTGAGAGGGGAAGGGTCAGTAAAAAGAAAACTGGGACTTCATAGATCTGCAAATTATAGAGGAAGGAACTGTACGGTTACATCTGAGCCATTTAGTGGCAGGAATGGATTATTTTCATGAATAAACTTTGATACACAGCGATGCGTCATTAGCGGTTAAATCAACCAGAGAGAGACTTTAAAACATGTGCTGGGGGATTATCAAGTGACATACCATCAAAAAAGTGACGGCATTAATTTGTAAAACCACTGACAGAACAGTTTAAACTCTGGGACTGACGTATTGCATAATTTATATCCCCAGACTGCAGCCTTTGCCATTTGTTAACTGCACTGCTTAAAACTGCTACTGCCGGTTGAAATGGAATACTTATTCAGAGTCAACAATCCAGTTGAACTGATTCATGTTCTGCACTTATATAGCCCCTTTTAACCTGATCTAGATTATTAAAGCACAATCTGTGTGTCATTCGCACACACACTCTAATGGTGGCAGAGGTGCCGTGATATCAGGAGTAACCTGTGGTTCAGTATCTTGACCAAGTACACCAAAAGAGGCCAGGAGTCCCTCCATGTACCAACCCTCCACATCTGTCCCAATGCTATGAATTATTCAACATGCTAAATATGAAAACAGCTGCTGATACAAATACATCTGGTTGAGTGTCAAGACTACTTGAAAAATTAATTACCTTGGTTAGTTTAAAAAAAACATTATGTTTAAATTTCTACTTAAATGTATGCTAAATGTAGATTGTTCATGAATCTGTGTTATGTCCCAGATGAGGGTGTGTGTTGTTGGTACTCGGTCAGATGAGGCCGTCATAAACACAGGCTGCCCACAAGGCAGCATTCTTTCACCTCTGCTCTTTTCCTTATTTACCAATGAATCTGCACTCAGTGATGATAATTTCAAATTGATTAAGTATGCAGATGACATGGCATTAGTTGGCTTGTTACAGAAAACTGACTCCTCTGGTGAGACCTCCTATCTTGCCCACACTAAAGCCCTGGAAGCATGGTGCCCAGACAGCCAGCTAGAAATCAGTGTTTCTAAAACAAAGGAGTTGGTTTTCTGTACAAAAAGAAATCTGACAGTAGACCCTGTTTCACTTGATGGGCAACATGTTCAAACTGTGGAAGCTTTTAAATACCTTGGCACTGTTATGGACTGCCAGTTCCATTTTTCAGAAAATGCTGATTTTGGTTTTAAGAAATGTTCACAGCGACTGTGCCTTCTGAGAAGACTGATTTGTCTTGGAGTGAGTCCACAGATCCTTAAACTTGTGTACACTGCACACATAGAGAGTGTCCTATCATTTCACCTCTCAGCTTGGTTTGGTCACCTAAGCTGTAAGTGCATAAATAAATTAAATAGGATTGTCACGATGGGAAGTAAAACTGTGGGTAAATCCCAAAAGTCTCTGACTCAAATATGGACTGAAAGGACGAGGGCAAAAGCTAGGAGAATCTTGATGATAGCTCCAATCCTCTTTTTAACAGGTTTTCACCTCTAAAGTCTGTCAGATGCTACAGAACCCATCTGGCCAAAGGTATCTTTAAGAAGTCTTTTATCCCAAACACCATTGGCCTTCTCAATTCAACAAAGTGATCAAGCCACATATAACCTGAACCTGAACTGCTATTTTACTGCTTTATTCTATATTATTGTTCTATTGTAGGCTACCTATACTATGTATTGCTGTGTCTGTATGTATGTCTGTCATGTTGACCTTCTGTGTTGGTGAGGCGAAGAGAATTTTCCACCTTGGTGGACCATAAAGTTTGGTTCTATTCTATGCGATAAAATCTTGAGGCACACTAGGCGAGACCACGATAATGAAAAGCAGATGCATAGCACAAAGACTTAATGAACTAAATAAAAGTAGAAGCAAGAAATGTCAAAACCATGGAGGATGAAGTATAGCGATAATGATATATTGTTGTGCATCTGAATGACACCACAATGACAAACCTTGACTAGTTCAATGACAACAAAAGACTCCTCTAAAGGCACCCGGCTGCTGCCCAGCAGAGTGGAGAAGGTCCACTTGAGAGGCTTCACCAGCAGCAGGCCCACTCCCCAGGACAACCAGCCACAGTCCACATTGGCAGCAAACTCTGACTCCCTCTGGATCTTCCCACATCTGGAAGAAGGTAAATCACAGACAGTGTAACCAGGCCAGGAGTGTCAGTGACAGGGGGGAACACAGGAACACCTACCTGGCCATGGACTGCAGCACAGTGGCCAAACCCATCGGGGATCGCTCCTTCCTCCTAAAGGTCTTGTTGAGCTCCTGCAGGTTGACGCACACGGTGCCTCGGTCCCTGCAGCTCTTCAGGACCAGAGCCGTCCAGAAGTCCATCTTACTGTCCCAGTCCGTCGTGTTGACATCTCGGTTCTCCTTGAAGTCGGAGAACATGAAATTCATCCGCTCGTCGTCGTCCCACTCAGCTGGCAGGCTCACCTCGCTGGACATGTCCGCTTACCTGCTGCTAAAGTTCTGCTAAACCCGTTTATCGACCCGCTCGTTGTTCCGAGCAGACAGCTAAGGCAGCTAGCTTAAAACCGAGGTACCGTTAGGTTTGTTACGAGCCTCCGAAAAGAAGCAAATGTCTCCACTGAACGTCAAGTAACATGAAAGTTCAGATGTGTTGTGTTAGAGGAAAAGTGCCAGCCGAAGCTCACGTCACCGCCGGATGTCACAGCAGAGCCTGGCTTTGCCTTCATGTGAAACTGTCAAGCTAACACGAGCTAACGTTCACGTCAACAACAACACACGGTGGGTTAGTTGCGTTTATAATTCACACCCGTGCGGAAAAGCGGGGATCAGCGCCGATGTGTGGCAATGGTAACTCCACCCGCGCAGACACCCCAGTGGACAAAACAAGCACAACCTCAAATCTGCTCACCAACATTGTGTTTGCGCTCTTTCTGCGCATATACAGCCGTCCTCAAATGTATCCATACCCTTCCATTAAAGAAAAGGCAAAATTCATAATAGTCACTCAAATAACTAGAAACTGAAAAAAGAAATAATAAATAACATTTTGCTAAACTATATTTTTGTGAAGTAAGACATTGCTTTTGAATTGTGGCTGAAAAGAATAGTTTAAAAAAAACAAACAAAAAAACTGTCTTGGACAAATTAGAGCACTTTGCTGACGAGCAGTGGGTCAAAACCAAAATACCTGTCAACAGGTGCACAAGTCTGATTGAGAGTTGCAGAAAACACTTGATTGCAGTGATTGGCTCAAAGGATTGTTCACCAAAATATTAGTTTTTGGGTCCCATCATGCTTGTTTGCTTGTGTGGTTTTTGTTTGTTTGTTTGTTTTATAAAAATATTTTCGTTGAACCACAATTCAAAACTAATGTCATGATTTTCATAAATTTCTTTATTTATTATTACTTTTGTCAATTTTAGATTATTTCAGTGACAGCTGTTTTTTTTTCTTCTTTTTTGGGAGGGTATGAATAAATTTGAGGATGACTGTACGTGAATCGTTCATTTTTTTTCTCAAGACGAAGTATTTTGAATTGAATTTTCCACCCATATTCTGGTTATCAAATTCACACCTGCAGGAGTTTTGTTTTAATGTTATCATGGTCTTTGAAAATAAGTTGTAACCACATAAGACATAGGACACAGGACTTTTTAGGGGCCATAAGCAAGATTTAATTAGACCCTGGACCCGCTCACCCCCCCATGTGCGGATGTACACAGCAACAACTAATACAGTTTGTGACTGTACATAACACAGATTGGGATAGGATCAGAACTTTTTTTTTATAACTTTAATGTACATTCTCTGATTTTGTTATAGCTCCCACAAGTCTTCAAATTTTGTACAATACCTCCCAAATCAGTTATAAGTTACACTATGTCCTACCAAGAAACCAAAAAAAGGGACATTTGCAGTATAACAAAATCAAGGCATTTCTTTGAAAGCCATAATTGTATCATAATAAGAAAATAAACGGAACAACACTTCAGTTTGCTCATATTTTCAATTAATTTAGTTTAGTTTACTCATGCCTCGTACCAGCTCTGATCCTACGTTGTTAATGCAGAACAAACATTAAATCCAAAATCGATTCAAGAATATCTCGTATACAAAGAAAATCAGGATTTAAAGTAGTGCAGTGTAAGCTTGTTTTATATAGTTATACAGTGTCATGCAAAATGTTACTCAGACTAACAGCACAGTATACCTTACAAAACTTCCATGGTTTTACTCTCATTTATACAATACCCAGTCTCATGAGGTGAATAATTCAGTAGAGGCACATGCACATCATTTTCACATTCGTAAAGTACAATATACATAATAATCCAAAAACAACATTGCCCTAGTCATAATTTGGCTGTGCAGGAGTAGTGATGCAGCAGTGACTTGACACATGTGTTGGCGTGTTAATGAACACACTTCATTCAGATATTAAGGGATAGTGCATAAAAATAGATTAAACAATCATTAATTAGTCGCCTTGCCGAAAAGATCAGAGAACCCAGCAGACTTAGTTACATGGCTTAAACATTTTGCAGTCTTTGACTTATTTGGCACATTTGATATACTCAGAAACGGCTCCCGTTGCTCCGACTGTACCTAACAGCTCTATTTGGCACTGAGATCAACCACCAGGTGCTGGTAGGCCAGGGTATTGCCTTTGAAGCTGGCGGCCAGCAGGATGTCCTTGTTGTCGACGGATACCAAACTGAACGCCCTTGGGGCTCTCATGTTGAGCTCCTGGAAGGGCTGAAAGCGCTGAGTGAGGTCGTCCCACAGGTAGACTCTGGAGAAGGAGAAATCACTTCCAAGAATGAGGTACTGGCGGAGGCCCACTGTGAAGGGATACACTGCCATTGAGCCCCGAGAAGGGAGAGTCTGGATCTCCACGAAACGCTGCCCTTCCCAGCGGAGGATCTTGGAGTCACCAATGAAGCGTGTGAGGCAAAGGTAAAGAACTTTCCTCACCCAAAAGTGCTTGACCATCTGCACGTCGGCTAGCTCTGTGATCTGGGAGAAGAAAGCAAACTGCTTCTGGTTTCGGTTCCATTGGTAAACCACCGGCGGTTGAGAGGCGCTGGAGAGGATGAGGTGAGGCTTTCCCCCAACATCCAGGAACTCGACATGGGTGTCTCGATGCCAAGGATGGAGGGACTGGTGTGAGTAGAAACCATTGCTGTTCCAGCGATAAATGCTGGTGGAGCCCGCCTTGGAACTGTCCGCTACTACAAAGTACCACTCTCCATCCAGCTGGAAGGTCTCCACAAAGTTGGGTTTCCTCACCCGGCTGGTGTCAATGTCTTGGATCTTGACGAAGCGCTGTGGGTCCTCTTCCCACCTGTAGTAACAGAAAAGCTTTCAATGCATTTGCGATTAAAGCAATATGTTTCAACAATACTGTTCTTATACAGAGTGAGAATAGGCTGATCAATGCCACTTTTACATATGTAGCTGCTGCTAGCCATACAGGAAACAGGGAGAAACAGCAAGTCTGGCCCTGTCCATCCATTATCTATACCCACTTTATCCTGTACCTCAAGCCTATCTCAGCAGACAAAGGACAAGAGGCAGGGTGCACCCTGGAGAAGTCGCCAGTCTATTACAAGGATATCATGCTCACACTGACACCTACGGCCAAATTTAGAATCATGGACAGACAATGGACAGTGGCACTAAGCCGGAGCAACCAGAGAAAACCCACACAGGCACAGGGTGAAGATGCAAACTCAGAAAGGCCCCAGGACCCAGGACCTTCAAATTTCTCTGTGAGGCGGCAATGCTAACCACTCTGGCTCTGTCAAAAGCTAACAAAATAAGATATCAAGGAGATTGGAGCTTCCACAGGAATCCCTCTGTTGTTTAATTTCATCAGCCTTAAGTTTTAGGTTATGGATTTAAAATTTGAGCACAAATTGTCATGGGTTGATGCATCTGTCATGACTTGCTTCAGGCCTCAAACTGTGACCTGGTGAGAAGCTTCATTTTCCAAGGGTAAATATGGAGCTATTCCTGTCAAACTCAGCTGCTGGTGGGAACTCTGCTTGGTTTTTGAATAGCAGCATTCATTTTGTCACAAACTGTAGCGCACACTGTTGAGCATTCACTGCCATTCATGGCTAGCTGCGAACCTGACTCTGCTCTGACACCAGTGATACCTTGGGTGCCGCCATACCATGCTATTACATTACTCTGCTTTTCTAACTACTGCTCCATCTGGCGGATATATTTTAGTCAGAGGCAAGCCAGCTGTTTCTTCCTGTTCCCAGTCTTAATGCTAAGCTGTGCTCATTGTTGCTGGCTCCAGCTTCAAATTTACCTGACAGACATGACTGGTAATAATCTTCTTAACACTTAGCAAGCAAATTATTTGTTTCTTTATGTCATGTTCTTTTAATCCTAATGAGAAATTTAACAGGTCACTATCTGTGGACATTACACTGCAATCCTTACTTGTATATATGAGATCCCCCGAAAAGTTGGGCCACAACCATGTAAAGCGTGTTGTTTATCACCACAGGTTTGCAGTAAACAGCAGAACGAGCTACAAGAGAGGCAACAGAAAGCAAAAACATCAGAATTCATTTCCTAACCTAGTATTGTACATTTGTTATGCTTTCTCCTTTAGCAACGTACAGGAAATGTTGTGGTACTTCCTGAAGATCATCTCCACATGATCCCATATATACAGTGTACAGAAACCTGAATCAGGCTGAGCAAAGGCCACAAACTGATCTCCATTGTACTCATAAGACTCCACCGACACAGAGTGGAAAGGGAAGGTTTCATACACAGCAAAATCTATAGGAGGAGAAACCAGAGGGACAGTTCTTAGAAAGTTAGAGTGAAAAAAAAAGTTTTACAAAATAGTAAAAAAAAAAAAAAAAAAAAGGCAAGGAAAAAGGTGACACCTGCACTGATGCAGTTGAAGTCTCGCGGTGCAAGATCGTGGATCCTGCGTCCCTGGAATTCAAAGGGGCTGGCACAGTAGATAGCAGGAACAGAAGTGTTGGTTTTCTCCATCCAGTCTACCAGCCACTTGATTTTACAGTCACAGCGGAAAGAGTTCCCACGCAGGTCTCTGAGTAACAAGTAAAGAAAAAAATGAAAAAATAAAGTACATCAGCATGGTTTTGGGCTAGAACTGAATTAGAATCAAACCACTAACTCCAGACAGAGCGCTCTACAGACTGTCTGTCTGGAGTGTGGTCGTCCACTAAACCCTCAGGGAACCTGAGAAAACCACGGCTTTGTGGTGACAGATTGCTGGGTCAAACCTCTGGGGAGGTCAAGACACTGTTTTGATTTCAGTGTAGGCGTACTTACAGATCTGTGAGGATGTCTAGATGTTTGAAGAGATCTCTAGGCAGCTGCTGCAGGTTGTTGTTTGAGAGAGATCTGAAAAATAAGGAGTTAAGTTGTGATACATAGTCTGTAATTGGTTGTATTAGTTTAAAAACATATACATCTTTGCTTAATCAGACAGTACAGCTATGATGGTAAGTGACAAATTCTACATTTTTGCCATGTTATCAGCAGCAAAATACTCACAGATGAGTCAGGGACTTGAGTCCTCTGAAGGTATACTTTGACAGAGCCTGGATGTCATTATTCTCGATGAACCTGAGAAGAGAGCAGATTGCTCATATGTCACACAGTAATGGCAACCTCTGAAATCCAGCCATAATTACAGAAAGTCATCCATGTTAAGGGGAGGCTGTGTTGGCAGTGCAGAAAGAAGCAATGATTATGGCTATAGCAGGGTCTGCTTCTCGTTGATTAACGGTCAAATGGTGATAGCCTGTGTATTTTTTTTTTAAATGAGTCCACGTTGACAACAAATAAAGATGTAAAAAAAACAGATAAATACTTTATCATTTTATGTTAATATTATATGATATATCCTGTTGACTGCTACACTGAGTGTCTTAACTGCAAAGAAAGCGAGTGAATTTACTCTTAATGGTAAAAGGTCAATTTATGTCTTTGTTGTGTCTGATAAACATGATATGCTGAGTGCAGCAAGTATTACAAAAACCTGCGTGTTAGCATCATTTGATCCCGTTCTGTCTTTGTTTTGTCTATCAATAGATGAGGACATACACTATGTGCAGACTCTCTGGAGGGGGCTGGATATGAAAATATGACTTTATTAGCATTCACAGCGGGTAGCGGCAGTGATGCAGAGGCCTGATGGCTGGGCTGCAGCCAAAGCCACACAGCAAGCAGCCTGAGGCAGGGCCATCACGGAAAGCTGCACCCTCCAAGCCATCAGCTAACTACTTTCTAAAGCCCATCAATTCACAGGATGGCATATTCAGCTTTATCACACTGCAGAGGCAAAGTGTTCACTGCCCGAGAAGAATTTATTTTCAGCTTTTGGCATTCTTTGCCATACTGCAGCGTTCACCCCTGAAATCTTCCTGTGCAGGCTTTACAGAGACAGGAACCAACCTAGACTTATTGTAATGAATCATTCACAAAAGCAAAACAGTGCCTGACAGAGTAAAAATGGCTCAGAACTTTGCTCTAATGTGGGTTTACGTAACATTTGAGGAACAGTTACACTGGATGCACTTACAGCATAATGGTAGAACATAATGTAACGGTAGTACATATAAGGAATAGCCAGCATGCTGACTCAGTAATGTCAGCTACGTAGACATGTAAATCTAAAATTTACCAACATTAGCTACCATTAGCTAGGCTGGACATACCAGACTAAGCCAGATTGTACATCCAAAGTCCTGGAATACAGTAAACCTAGCAAAGGTCCAATTGAATGCTTCTAAATTTAGCTTTCAGTTTATGTCTTATTTCTATATAAAGCATTTTACTGCTTCTTTTACACTTTAGGTTAGATGCTTGGCTGCATTTTGTTGTCTTAAAACTTGCACTCTGTGAAATGTCAAATCTAATCTAATTTCATTTATTCTAAAGTCACACAGTCTGGCTATTCCTTGAGGAAAAGATGGACTTTTTGTCGTGCATACACAGGAACACATTTTCTCAGTATTTTCAAAAATTAAGCACTGCATGTTGTTATCCTTAAGACTAAATGCAGTCAGCGCTCATTTAAAAGTAATATTTATTTATTTTGCAATTCCTAGCATAAATCAAGACACTCACAGATATTGCAGGTGGGACAGACCAGCAAAAGCATCATCAGCGATCATAGTGAATGTGTTGGAGTTCAACAGCCTGTCGAAAGGAAGAAGTAATGGTTAAATCATGTAGACAATGATACGCATGTCCAACTAAAGCTGCATTGAAACATCTAAGCAACTCAGTGCCATTTACGTGTCTAAAGAATTAAATGAATGTCATAACAATGTTCACATAAAATATTTGCAGTATATAATAGTAACTGTAAAGAGAGAGAAAAAGAATACAATAAGCACAATCAGACACAGAAATACACACAAACACACACAGGCACATGAACACACTCTCATGATTGCATCTGAGAAGATAAACGACCCTTTGTGTGGCAGAGCAGAGCTGAAGGGAGTCAGTCATTGGCAATGACACTGATACAGAGCCACTTTACCCTGATTACTGCTATGTCACCACTGTTTTCAATAACCATTCATTTCTAGTGCTGGTAGCTGAAGTGCTTTCATTGTCACTGCAAAACAAAAGATGTCTGCGTGCTATGTATGAACATACCTGTGGTATAAAGTACTGTGACTATGTTTTTAACCAGGGACAAGCTATAGCGAACTGCTTGTGAAACAGAATCAAAAGTTTATGATGTTTTGCAGTTGTAATAGTGTTCTGTTGTGGGTTGGAGCACTCACAGGAACTGCAGCAGGTGTAGGTGTGAGAAAGCTCCTTCTGGGATTGTAGTGAAGGCTGCGTTCACCATCGTCCTGTTCAACAAAACAAAAGTCAGCATTAAATGTGTCATCTTGATGTTAGGATACAGATTACACAGGCAGTGCCAAAGCAGGACGTCACGTGCTTCATGGGGAAACATGTCAGTAACTATGTCATTTTCACTCCATCCAAAGCCCGTCTTCTCTCAAGATATGTCTGTCAGTTTGAACTTTGGAAGGGGCTACATCTTTTAAAAACTAGGGCACATAACTTCCTTCTTCACTTCTTTACTCCTTCTGTTGTAAAATGAGGACACCTTCCCCCAGCCTGTGCTCTTGAATTCCCTTGACTGCTTCAACTCAATATTCAACCCTAAGGCAATGGGGGTCAATATCAGATGAAAGGGAGTGCCTTGTAACCTTCTCAGCAAAACATAACCTTGCCCCACTCAACTGTTCAGCTTTCCTCTTCATTATTTGTGCTCCATTTATTGAGCATATCTCTGCACTCTCTTCAAGATTAAATCTCTCAGAGGAGAAGCAGGTCTCCTGCAGTCAGATAGGCAATCTATTGTTAGTAGTCCTCCCTGGAGCTCGACAGGATTTTACTGCTGTGCTCCCTCAGTTCACTTGCATTTGGCACCATAAAGGGACAGTATTAATATTATGTAATGCTGCCTAAGCAAAGACACACACTGCACGAAGAAAACACCACACATGGCTGTAGTCAATTTTAAGTAATTAAAAGAGAAGCAGGTGCTTCATGCATCATTACATAATGGAGGGTGACATCAGTGATGTAGCCATCTGTACCAGCCTGCTTACTGCCGAGGCTTCACACAGGTTATGAAAAGATGCTTTTGGTGAGTGAAAAGCACACACATGAATTTTGGACTCACAGAGAAATGATTCCAGGGGGGAAGCTCTTAGGGATGGCCTTAGTGTCCACGCAGAAGGCACTGTCTTTGGTGCAGGAGCAGGTTGAAGGACAGCGAGGTATCTTGGGGGCTCTCCTGGCGTTTGATTCCCTCGGCAGACAGAGACACAGACATAAAACTGTCAAGCAGACCAGCCTCATCCATCGTGGTCCGAGCTCCAACATCCTTGGGCAGGAAGAAAGAACAAAGCTGTATGAGCAAGCTTCTTGAAGTTTCTCCTCAGTGGCAAGTGGCTTGTTGAGAGGCGATGGTCAGCCTGCCTACACCCCCCAGCAGTTGTGATCAAGCTGAACGCAGAGTTGAGAGGGACAGTGTGTGAGAGAGAAAGCATATGGGTGAGAGAGAAAGAAGGGAGGAGGGAGGGGGAGTAAGGGTAGTCCTGTGTATCCTTGGTGGGCGTGGGTGCTCTGCAGCTTCCCTGGATCTGTGCAATCTTTTTTCCTTGTCCCTGTCAGGAGCTGCTGCCAGAATGCACACTGCAGGAATGACGAGCGAGGCTGCTTTCTCTCCACTAGGACCTGTAGGCAGCGCTGACAATGAATTATTTACTATTGCACATGCAGAAAAAACCTTAAAACAACAGCAGCAGGGAGAGAGAGAATGAGGATGTAGAGGAGACTCACATCAGTTCAGTGCCAGTCATCTGTGTGTTCTCTTATCAGGTGTGAAGTCCTGTCAAGCTGCTGCAGTCATGAGAGTAGACAAGGAGGCATCAAGAATGCAGGGGAAATGTGTGTGCATGCATTCATGTGTCAGTGGCTGTGTGTGTGGGAGGCTGTTTTTATTCTGGCATTTTCCAAACAGCAACCAGTACTGGGATTTTTTTTTTGAAGGCTTCAAGGTACACACAGTTCACTGAAGAAGAAGAATAACAACCACTATCTATGATAAGGTCAAAATGAACACATTGTACTGCACAGGATGCATGTTTTAGAAGGAAAAAATACAAACTGGTAGCTTATAAATGTCATATTAACATATTTCCAACTAACAAATATATTAATTAACAAAAGAAAATCCTATTCTTAATTCTCTGTTTAATCATTTGGTCATAAAATGCCCATCATAAGCAGAGACTGTGTGATTACAAGTTCCCAGAGGTCAAGGCGATGGCTGGTGATGTCCAGTTTTGTCTGATCAAAAATAACACCAGCATCTATCCATCCATTAGCTGTACTCACTTTACCCTAGAGGGTCGCAGGGGGTAGGAGCCCATCATAGCTGACACAAGGCAAGACGCAGGGTACATTGTGGACAGATCTGCAGTACATTGTAGGCCTAAGACCAAGAAACAGATAACCACACACACTCATGCTCACACCAATGGTCAATTCAGAACCATTAAATAATCCACAAGGCATGTCTTTACAAGCCAGAGCATCAAGGGAAAACCCACGCAGAAGTAGGGAGAACATGCAAACTCTGCACAGAGAGGCCGACCAGCAGGTTCAAGCTCAGATGTGTGAGGTTACAGTGCAAACCCCTGCACAATGAGGCCACCTGTACAAGACCGACAAAAACCCCACAAAAAATCACTGGTGGAAAAAAATACTTATAAGGTGAAAGGCTTTTAGTCTGTGCCATTAGGATAGCACTGCTTAACATACTGGAATTTTATAATTAATGCGCCTAGGGGCTCATGTTGCACATTGTTTGGTGAGTGTGTTACACTGAACCATGTAGAAGTGATGCTGATTTATTTTGTCACTTTGTATATTTTTTTTTACATGGAGTCCAGAAAGAATAAATGCTGTGATACAGCAGCTAATGGGGCTCCAAAAAACAATATCACAATCTAGAACCAATGCATTTCTGATACCTTTTCTCAAAATATTCAGTCAAATGAACTGACGAGCTGATAGATCTCTGTTGATAGACTGAATAATAATAATAATAATAATAATCATCATCATCCTCATCATCATAATAACAATACATTTTATTTATAAAGCGCTTTTCTGAACGCTCAGAGACACTGAAATAATTCAGATAAAAAGAAAAGTCGCAGATTTGTTTTGCTTTGACACAATTAACACCAATACCTGTAAGTTGCTGTCAGTTTTAGATGGATTGGTATACAGATTATTCAATGTTTGATGAAATTCATTCACTCTAACACCTAATCTTTGACTTTAGTCCTTAGATCTTAAAGACTGTTATTATATCTTTTTGGGAGTCACTTCTAATACTACATTTGTATATTTAGGTTATTAGACAAGTTTCAGTTCTTACGCACTATTGTGTTTTGTGTGAATAATAAAATGTAATAACTAAGATATTACATTTACAATCTCTTCAACTAAAAATATGTATTTGTTGTTGCTCCTTCATATGAAAATGCACTATGTATAAGACCACAACATTCTGTAAAATGCTATGAAAGTACAAAAACAATTCAGTTAAGTTTTCCTTCAAGATAATCCAACATACATTTGAGTTGTACTATCAAGAGAAAAGACAGTCACAATATTTTTAAGATAATCATGTAATAATAAAGGTATGAAAACATTTCTGCCAGTCACTCTCAGTCAATACTGACTTGTGACAACAGAGGGCACTGTTGTCCATAAAATGAAATCAGTTCAGGGCACTGGACTGCACAGAGAGCAGCTGAATGGCCAGTGGCAGAGCTGCAGCCTCAGTGCCAGGCATTACCAGCTTTCCTGCACAACAGCTCTGTTGTCACAAGCAAAGAGACCCTGAAATGTACTGTCCCAGCACAGCGTCACAACCCAGACACACAGCATGTGCTTTCAAACATCAGTCCTAATGCAGCAGCTTCGTGTACTGATTTTAAAACAGATAACTCTGAAGGCAATATGTAGTCTCTCAAATGTTGATGCAACGTTTTTCCTAAAATATTCGTTCTTTTAGTCTCAGTCCCTTGCTTTTTGATGTACACCTTCTGTAAGCTATGAAATGAAATAAAAGTATTATCGAGATTGATGAAAAAGAAAACTCTAATGTCCTGAGGGGCTGCGTTTTAAATCTGTTAGATGGTCTCTTTGCCTTGGGACGGATGGATGTTTATCAGTAAGTGGCCTCCAAAGGATCCAGTGTTTTTGAACAGAAATCTGTTAGGCCTCACTGTAGTATTCAATTGTATAGATTCACATATGAACCGGTTACAGAAGTATGGGTGGCGTCGCTTTGTGCTTTATCCAGTTATGGAATGTAATTTTCAACGCAGCAGCTATTTTTATGGTTTATTTTCTTTGTGCTTTGATGCAGCATATTTGAATGCGTCTTAGTTTTTTTTTGTGCTAACTGTATTCGTGGATTTACGAAAATTATGCTCAGTGAGCAACAGTTAATGCCTGAGCTTAGTCTCTGCAGAGCTCCACCCAATCCAAACCTCCGGTGGGAACCAGCATAATTGCATGGCATAGACAAGGGAGCATGAAACGGCAGCTGGAAACCCTAACATGCCCTGTGTGAGGCAGTGGAATCTGAAATACTGCTGAGATTAAGCCACAAAATTCCCTCTATGCAAGTATGCTTACTAAATCACAGGCCTTAGTTTAAAGTACTGTTTTGGAAAATGTGCCATGTGAAGTAAATTGCTTATGTAATCAAAGCATGATTTCATTGTCACAAACAATTGCTTTGCATTTTCAACGCTCAACCCTTGAAGCAACTGTGAAGACATTTCATTGCTTTCAATTGCCAAGATTTAGATGAGAAGGCTGTTTAACATGAAGCTACAACCAGCAGCCTGTTAGCATAGCTTAGCGCAAAGATATCCTCATAAAAGTGTAAAATGTGTTAATGCTTTAAATAGTATGCTGGTAGTTATATTTCTACCTGCTGACCCCAGCTTTCACTAACATACTTAAGTTTATACTTAAGTATCCTTGTGTTCCTCTGTTTTTCTTATTTATATTGTGTATTTATAGTATTTATACCTCACCTCTTTACACTTGTTTGCTTGCTTTTCTTACTGTCACTTTGCTGTTGTGATGTTGCAAATTTTCCCTTGTGGGACTAATAAAGGATATTCTATTCTATTCTATTCTATTCTATTCTATTCTATTCTATTCTATTAATTGTGTGTTTCATTTTAGTTACATTTATTGTAACTTTTCAGATTTCTTTTTTTTTCTGCTACTAGGAACAGAAAAAGGGGCTGCAGGGTGGCACAGTTGGTTAGCACTGTTGCCTCGCAGCAAGAAGGTTGCCAGTTCGCGTCGTGGTGGAGGCGTTTCTGCATGGAGTTTGCATGTTCTCCCCGTGCAGCGTGGATTCTCTCTGGGTTCTCCGGCTTCCTCCCACAAATCCAAAGACACATTGAGGTTAATTGGTGATTCTAAATTGTCCATAGGTGTGAATGTGAGTGTGCTTGGTTGTCTGTCTCTAAGTGTGGCCCTGTGATAGACTGGTGACCTGTCCAGGGTGTCCCCTGTCTTCACCCTAAGTCAGCTGGGACAGACTCCAGCCCCCCGTGACCCAAGTGAGGATTAAGCGGTGTATAGATAATGGATGGATGGAACAGAAAAAGGTTGTGAACAGAACTTATATCATCACTGTTTCAGGTGCAACAGTAAACTTCTTACCAAAGTTACACTGCTTATATCCAGCACATATGGAGCAACAACATCATCCATGAAGCCACACTTCTGTCCACCAGGTGATTTATTCTTATTTAGCTTCGGTTTTAGTCTCTAATCAATACCAACTAATCAATACCTGGTTTTGTAGCTTTTAAATGCTCCACTATGCTCACTGGCTAGTTTCTGACTGTGTCTGTCTGCTAAGTAAGTAGTGTACAGTTGGTTTTAAGAGCTTTTTTGCTTAAAAAAAACCCCAAAATACTATCTACTTGTTATAACTGAAAACAACGTAATGAGAATGGTGACAGTGAACCAAAACAATACATTTGTGGGCGAGACAACCAAACTACGAGCTTTATGCCATTACAAAGCTCCAAAGTGTTGAGAGGAGCTGCAGATCTGGGTGACAATTTTTTGTAATTTCATTAGTACGAGCAAACACTGTCACATTATTTTTGTATCTCATGACATTAATTTATATTTTGTTATTTCAAATACTTAGTTTTAGCTGCTTTAAGGCAAATAAATGCAATATAGTTTGCAGAACATGAATATTCAAAGGCCTTTTTTTATAGTCAAATAAACTCCAGGTTGTGTTCTGCAGCAACACTGAGGACAAACTTTGAGCTTCACTGAATTTCTACAAGCAGCGCAGCCTTAGCACACCTCCCAGTCAGAAACTGAATAG